CTCGGAGGGGGGAGGCCTTTTTCTCCTTTCCTAGGCTCCTAGAAAGCCTCTGGAGCCTGGGGAGAGAAAAAAAAACGGGCCTACCAGGCTCACCGTGCCATCATATGCCAAAAGGGGGGGAGCACGGGGGGTTTGCATGTGTAGGGCGCATTCAATTATGGGTGTGGGCACGTGCGTGCTCCCCCCGCTTTTGGCACATGATGGCAAAAAGGTTAGCCATCACTGTCCTATCCTATCCCCTTCTCTCCCTCAGGCTTGCCCCACAGAAGCCTCTCCTGTCCTATCCCGTTTTCTCCAGAGTTATTTTCAGGTTGGGAGGGGGAGTAGAATGTCTAACTAATTAGCATCAGAGCGTGTTAATAATAATATAAGAAATACTAATGATCTGATGGTCATTCTGAAAAATTCTTTCTTAGCGAGCACCTAGAAACCAAGAGGAACATATGTGCTAAATTTCAAGTTTGTAGGCTTTACGCTTCTGGAGAATTTGTGATCACGGCATGAGTGGTTTTCACTTTTATATATATAGATTATGAACCTCCATGTCAGCCATGTTGGAATTTCATTTTCAAAATCCCTACAAGTCTTTGTAAGCGACCCCTGGCAGCAACCCCTGATTTTGTCCTTATTTTATTTTTGTAGTACATACGAATGCCTGAAGGACTGGAAGACCCAATGGGCTTACAACAAACTATATTAATCAGAAATATTCATGTTTCACTTTCACTTTTCATAAATGAAAATGGACTAGATTAACTCTCTTATTTTTATTGTGGGACACTTGATGAGGCTACCCTTTCATCTACTTTATTCCATGCTTTATACTAGAAAATTGTGGTTGATTTCAAACAATTACATGTAAATCTGTGTAAATCTGGCTTCACAAGGACAATAAGTTGCTTACTTCCCTTCTCTCCTCTTCTGGCAAACTTGGACAAAAATTGAAAGTTTCTGCTTCTAGTTTAGATTAACCACAAGTTTACACATAGTTTGTGATTAAATATAATTATGGCTACTTTATAGAAAACAGTTTCACAATCCACAGACCTGACTTGTTTCTACTACCATCAAACCAGGGATTTCCCTCCCTCATTTCCAAGGTCTCATTAATTTAAAGTGGAACCAAAAATTTCTGAACTTTTTGCAACTTATCTGACAACAAAGGGGATTGTTTACGTAACTTTTAAATTATTAATCAGGTTGGATCTGAACCAGTTCAAATGAACGTTTACCTTGCTTTTTCTCCACCTACACACACACCAAATGCAGTGAAAGGAATTCCCCTCTCTATTCAATTCTGCATCTCTCTCTTCCTTTGACTCAAATTCCTAAGGAAAATTAATCACTAAGAGGAGCAACATGTAGAAATAAGCAATACATAGACTTAAGGGACTCCTTTGCAATGTATGACTGCATTTTTCCCCCCAACTTTTTTCTGTCTGAAAAAAATCAGAGTGCTGTTTTAGGAAAAGCATTATGTACCAAGTGTTCACTTGAGCAGAAATAAACCTCTGCCTGCCTCTTTTAATTTGGAAGTAAAAGCAAACTCTTTGAAATCTGATTAATATGTACAGGAAACCTTGTAAAACAAGACTTAACTAATTGTTTGCCTGATCCTACTGAACAATTTCAAGTAAGGTGGGGATTTTTCAAAGGGTTTACTATAAGTCATTGATCTTTGTAATTGCACCTATTGTTTAATATGCAATTCTTAAAGTTCTTATCTAGAATTAAAATATCTTGCAAATCATAAGAAACAAAAGATTTAGACTCAGTAAACAAGCAATAGCTGTAATTATAGCAGGTTAGGAGTTACAGTATTGTCCCCAGATGTAATCTCACAAATGCTCCCAGTATCAGTATGTACCCACAACACAAATCAAGAAATGGTTGAGGAGAAATTCAGCCAGACCATGGGACTGGTCTAACTCATAAAAGAAACATCAAAGAATTCCTAAATGTCATAGGATGCATATCCAGGAAATAAGGTTTCATGCTGCTACTGTATAAGAAAATGTGACCATTCATTTTTACATTTTCAAGAGATTTCAGCCTGCCAGATCTGTTGCCAATTCAATACTAACTATATTCAACAATATACAGAGTTATTTACAAAGGTAACTTAACTCACTGTTATACTCTCAAGAAATAGCTAGTGTTCTTACTTAATAAGGGTTCTTATTTTGGAACTGTCCTTCAAGCTTGTAAATTGGCAAAGCTGTTTTTCTTTTAGATAGAACCAAAATAGCTTATTATTTTAAATGCCCAAATTAAACATAACTGTTCTTTGTTTATAACAACACATTTCCTAATTGACAGTAAATTCTTCCGTGCTACTGTTTGTTACTTCTTCACATTCTCTGTGTGATCAGAGTAGAATATCAAAATAGTGCTGAATTTAATTTAACAAGTTAAATTGCTATAAAAATGAAATCACTTTCATTTCACTAAGAACACTTTGCTCTGATTATAGAATAGATTTGTATCACCTCTATGCCAAAGAGCACATATTTAATTAATACAATTTATACTGGGCAAATGTTTGAACATTCATTATTTAAACAATATCAATCCAGTTGGACTTTAAGGAACAACTCAATTATGTGAAATATTCAATCAGCAACGTGCAATGGATTATTTCCTTTATACTAACTAATTAATACATTCTTATTCTAACTATTTAGCTAACTTCTTCTAAGTATTTAATTTAATTTAACTAATATGTGAAGTGTTAGTGCCACTTTATAATGTCCTGGTAAGACCACACTTAGAATATTGCATTCAGTTTTGGTTGCCACGATATAAAAAAGATCTTGAGACTCTGGAAAGAGAGCAGAGAACAGCAACAAAGATTAGGGGGCTGGAGGCTGAAACATATGAAGAACGGTTGCAGAAATTGGGGATGTCTAGTCTAGTAAAAAGAAGGATGGAATGACATGATAACAGTGTTCCAATATTTGAGGGGCTGCCACAAAGAAGAGGTGGTCAACCTATTCTCCAAAGCACCTGGAGGCAGGACAAGTAGCAATGGATGGAAACTAATCAAGGAGAGAACCAATCTGGAATTAAGCAGAAATCGCCTAACATTGAGAACAATTAACCAGTGGAATGCTTGCCTTCACAAGTTGTGGACGCTCCATCATTAGAGGTTGTTAAGGAGAGATTGGACAACCATTTGTCTGAGATAGCATAGGGTCTCCTGCTTGAGCAGGGGGTTGGACTAGAGGACCTCCAAGGTTCCTCCCTATTCTGTTATTCTATTATTCTCTTATTTATTTTGCAATTATTGCAGTCTCCAACCCTGTTAAAAATCTACAGAAAGCTAGTAGAAGAGGTCATCCACCAGTTTGGGATAAAATATCATCAATATCTATCTCATTGTCATTCAAATGGGGGACATGGTAGAACTTTTAAGCCAGTACCTGGGGCTACCAGGATCTGGATAGAAAACAAAATAGACAAATGGAGTAATAGTTCATTAAGTAGTTTAATGATTCTAGATTTGTAACAACTTTCCCTCTGAACAGGTAATGTTTCCCTTATCTTGGGATTCCTCCTGGACTCATGGCTCTTGATGGAAGAACAAATGGAAGTAATGATCAGGAGGGTCTTTGCCAGTGGTGGGTTGCTACCGGTTCTCCCCGGTTCTTGCGAACCGGTAGTGGAAATTTTGAGTAGTTCGGAAAACCAGTAAATACCACCTCTGCCTGGCCCCGCCCCCAATCTATTTGCTGCCTCCCAAGTCCCAGCTGATTGGCTAGAAGGGAAAAAATCAGGGCTCACTTGACAAAGAAGAGGGGAAAAAAAACAAGACACCTTAGTTTTAAATTGAGAAGCCAAGAAGCCTCCCAACTGATCGGCTAGAACCGATCCGCTCCTTGTAAACCGCTTGGTGGTGGTAGATTGACAATTGAGGCCAAGCTGCCTGAAAGCGATTTCCGATGCTCTCGGTGATGGCAAAGAGGCAAAAAACTGTTTAAATTCTTGCCGCGCCGCTTCATCTGATCAGCTGATTTACCGCCCTATAGCGGTAAAAGGCAGTGTGGTGGTGGACCAATGCGCTCCAAAAACAAATGGGTAGACCGGAACGCTCCAAAAACAAATGAGTAGATCAGTATGCTCCAAAAATAAATGGGCAGACCAGTACGGCTCTGCAAGCAGTTAAAAGCCTGGTAAACCAGTACCTCTACTAAATCCTAAAGAATTGTTGTCACATGACCATCAAACCATGCCCACAAAATAAGCCACGCCCACATAACTGGTAGTAAAAAAATTTAGAACCCCTGGTCTTTGCCCAGCTGTACTCTTGCCTAGAGCTGAAGAGTATCTCTCATTCTGTAAGTATCTCACTTCTGGATTAATGCAATTCCTTTTATATGTGGCTATCATTGAAAATGACAGAGAAATTTCAATTAGTGCAAGCTGTGTCACCCCATGTTATGGGCAATCTAATTGCTGCTACATAACTATAGGAGTTAACAGTTATGGCTGTCCATATGTTTCCAAGTGCATTCAAGGTGTAGATCATTAATTAAAAAGCCCTACGTGGCTCAGGACTTGGGTATATCTGAAATCTGAATCTGCCTAACCATTATGTTCAAACAGAGAATGCCTGTTGAAGGTCCTTATGTACTATGCAGTGTAATTAGTAGGGTCATGGAAATGGACATAGTCTATGGCAGCTCCCCATTTTTGAAACAGTTTCACCCCTGAAATGCTGGTAGCCCACTCGTTATGGCTTTCCAAAGGCTTGCAGAGACATGACTGAAGGCCTTCAGAGATTCACTCCTATTGGTGCCACAGTATATTATACAGAAATTCTATAACTTTCATATAAAATGTAATGAACTGAGAGCCACTAGATTGAAGTAATATATGTGTCTTACAAATAAAACAAAATAAAAATAAACATTGGAGAAAAAATGCTAAATAAACATGAACTGTGTAATTAGAACATATATTAATGCCTTATCTTACTACAGACAGCCAATGGATCTTACCAGAATTTCAGGGAGAATAACTGCAGTTAATGCCTTGTCACTGATGAAAGTATCTTTAACTAACATATACAGTCTTTCAGCTTCGGAAAAACAAGTAATTTCTAGCACAACAGCACCTAAATAAATGAAGAATATATTTAACATGACATGCCCATATTTCATATGTATAATACTGTGAGTTTCCATATTTGTTCCAATGTAAGTATTAGTATGCCATTCACTTCACTCACTCAAATGTAAAACTTTATTGATTATTAAGGGGACTGGGTTTATTTCTGGAAAACAAAACATCTCTTTCTATTGGTATGGTCTTGATTTTTTTTTTAAAAAAGTAAAATGTTTTCTATTCCAGGAGATGAAATTTCAATACACATAATAGTATAATTAGGGAAGAGCTCATGCTTCTACATGCAAAGAGCATTAGGAGGAGGGGAAAGAGCTACCATGTTTCCCCGAAAATAAGACCCTGTCTTATATTTTTTTTGAACCCTGAAATAAGCGCTTGGCCTTATTTTTGGGGAGATCTTATTATTTTGGGGCGTGTGGAGCAAGATGGGGCTCCTCTTGCCATCTTACCTGACTTCCAGCTCTGCATTTAAATATTTTCAGGGAGGGCTTATTTTCAGGGGGAGGCTTATTTTAATGCATGCGCTCAAAAGCCTGATTGGGCTTATTATCAGGGGATGTCTTATTTTCGGGGGAAAGGGGTAGTGAAGTAATTCTTACATGTACCATACATGAACCAGAGCAAAACAGAACATCCAATAATTCAGCTGCCAAGTTTGAATTAAAACATGATATTCTTACCTTGAGATGAATATATGTGATTCATAGAAACTAAATTGGCTGAAACAATAATAATAAAAAAAAATCAGTGTCCAAGCATCCCCTTTAAAAACTTTTTTTTCTAACTGAAAGAAAAGTGTACAGCTAATAAGTTAATGCTATCTCATTTTAGATGTATTTTGAAAGACCAGTTTTGTTTATTTGAAGAAGAGTGAAATTTAAATACGAATTGTCCATGGATTTTAAGCTAAGGCTTCAGGATAGTAAATAGGATCAACTGGTCTGTGATAAAACAAAGCTAATTCCAAATAGTACTGATGGGAATATGTTAGTTAAACAAACACAAATCACAGATAAGCTAACTATTAATTTAAGTTGCTGTCAGCAAGGATTGGATGGGTAACATTCCATAAACCATGGGCACAATTTTCATCTATGCAACTGAGCGTTTGAGGACCCAACAGATAGATATATACACAACCCACATTCATTCTCACAAATTTGATGGAAAAAATGGGACAGAATGATTGCATAATGCCAGATTGGTGTTTAACAAAAAATCCAATATGTTTTCACCCAGCAATATACGTAACTCACAAATTTCCACTTCTCCTTCATTATCCAAAACAGCCAATTCTAATTTAGTTAATTTTAAAAAGAAACCAGTCTTCATATCTACTCTTCTTAAGGGGATATTACTTTAACATCAGTATTCCTTATTATTTTCTACCATTTTTCCCCCAAAACTAAAAATGACTTATAAATGTAGTGCATATACTTCTAATAATTTTTTAATGTAAAATCATATGCACAAAAATGGAAAGTGGCTGTTATTCAATCCAAGGAAAAAATGAAAGGGTAGGACAATTTATTAATAGTAAAAATAAGGGTCAGGGGCATACAGATGATTGCCTCTGATTAAATAAGAGACTTTTTTTTTTCATTTTCTACAAGTTACAGCATGTATAAAAAATATGAAAAGTAATTCCAAAAATAGATGGCATATGAGAACATTCCAAAATATAAAAGCACTTTTCAATTTACGTAGATTTAAAAAAGACACAGGGGAAGGGGGTATCTGACGTACTTTTGATGGCTAATTCATCTTTGAGGATTTTTGTATATTCTTCTGAAGTAAGATGGAGTGGCAGACCACCGACAAACAGATGGACACGCACAGTCGATATATTATTTTCTACAATGTAAAATCTTGTTTGGTTCATCTGCCGCAAAGATGTCTGCGTAAGAAAAAAATTAAAATGTTATCATCTTAAAGCACATTTCATATGGAGAGGTCAAGATTTCTATAACCATTCTGCCATCAGTACCAAAACACAATTCCCAGACCATGAAGCCTGTCTTATAAGGATCATTCTTCAGTAGACAAGTTTCCTGTTATGTGGATTTGCTTGTTCATTTTCAGTCTGTCTCAGGGGTGAAATCCAGCAGGTTCTGACAGGTTCTGGCGAACTAGTAGCGGAAATTTTGAGTAGTTCAGAGAACTGGCAAATGCCACCTCTGGCTGGCCCCAGACTGGGGAGGGAATGGGGATTTTGCAGTATCCTTCCCCTGGAGTGGAGTGAGAATGGATATTTTGCAGTATCCTTCCCTTGCCATGCCCACTAAGCCACACCCACCAAGCCACACCAAGCCCACCAAGCCACGCCCACAGAACCGGTAGTAAAAAAAATTGGATTTCACCCCTGAGTCTGTCCTACATGTTAGCAAAAGTTTGAAAACTGAAACTAGTTTAGAGTGACATTAGTATGAACAGGCATAATTTTAGACTAATATCATTGAATTTAAAATTCTATGCCAAGAATACACAATGAAGAACATAGTAAACTATTTTGCAGAATTACTTATGATCACAATAGCTGTTGCCACAATAAGCCAGAAATGCAGTTTATAAGCAACATGTAATCAGCACAATCAAAGACAAAGACCACCAGAAACAAGAACTTTGTATTACTTATGAACTTTGACTTTTCCCTCCTTCCTCAAATAAACCAGGATTTGGAGCTACTATATATTTTCTTCTTCCAACCAGTGTTTTTTTAAAAGAGGCATAAGCCCAGACTTCCAGCATTGGTGAAATACAGGTAGTCCTTGACTTACAACAGTTCATTTAGTGACAGTTCGAAGTTACAACAGCACCGAAAAAAGTGACTTATGACCATTTTTCATACTTATGACTTTTGCAGCATCCCCATGGTCACATAGTCAAAATTCAGATGCTTGGCAACTGACTCATTATGATGGCCGCAGTGTCCCTGGGTCATGAACTGTTGTAAGCCAAGGACTACCTGTATTTCACCAATGACAAACAAAGATCAATAGGGAAGCCAGATTCACTTAACAACCAGGTTACAAACTTATCAAATGCAATGATTCACTTAGCAACTGCGGTGAGAAAAGTCATAAAATGGGGCAAACTCACTTAAACGTTTCACTTAGCAACATAAATTTGGGACTCAGTTGTGGTCATAACTCAAGCATTACTGTTGTGGCCCGCCAGCAGCCAGCAGAGCTGGCAGCATATTCAGACAGTGAGGAGGTTGGGGAGGAATGTGGCCCAGTCCTGGAGTCTGGGGAAGGCTCGGACGATGGCTCTGAGTTGGAGGCAGAGAGGGGGCCAAGGCCAGCTGGTAGTTCTTTGCTGCCTCCAGAGTCTCTCGAGTCTAACATCAGTGAGGCAGAAGAACAGCATGAGCCTGTTCCCAGAGTGTGCATTCGCAGGGCTGCCAGGAGACAGGAACAATTAAGGAAACAGGATTGACTTGGGAATAAGATTTGGAGATGATTGGCCCCTCCCATAAGACATAAAAGAGAAGTGAACAGGACATGAGCTTTTGCAGGAAGCAATTAGTTCATCTGGCTGATTCAAGATTTGAAAATTCTGTTTGTGACTCTGTGCTAAGTCTGGCCTTGTCCTGCATCTGGAAATTAGCTCTTTGGCAGCGTTCCACGTGAGATAGGTGGGTGTTGATAACCTTTCTCTGAAAGACTGTTTATCAAGCCTTGTGGACTGCAAATGAAAGTAATTTACAGCCTTAGGAATTAAAGAGGTTTGCTGGGACTAAGTTTGTGCTGTTTACTTTCTAAGGAAGCCTAGGTCAGAACAACTACTTGTACTGAATTTTATTTCTTCTGGAGTTTCTGCTTGGTTAAGCAACATCACCTCATTAGGAAAGCCAAGTTCATAAATTATAAAAGTAGAAATATCAGCAACTGTGGAATCTTCTTACTTGTGAATCCAGCCATTTTGCCTAAATATCTTTGTACCATGTTTTTTTTTTTTAGAAATAGAGTTTGAACATTTAGTAAAGCACCGAAGGATATAGAAAAGTACTTTGTACAGTTTCCTTGTTTACCTTTCTGATGTCTTGTAACCTGCCGATAATTGATTCATGATCATCCAGCACCATTCGCTGAACTAAAGAGAATTTTTTTAAAAAAACTTCATTGATTCTTTTTTAATCAAAAGCTATCATGCAATTAATTAAAACAGTCAAAATCGCAAGTATGGAAATTTCTTAGGAGTAAGGGAACTTGCAATTAAAAAAAGAGAGAGAATTACACATCCAGGTTTTTAAACTGAAGTTACATTTACATAATTCAGTGGAACAGTATCTCACCTTGTCTGGAGCCCATCAGGACCTCCACCAATTTGAAGTTTTGGAAGCAATCTGACTGCCAAAAGACAGATATGTTAAAAATGAATGTCCAGAAAAATATAGGATCTAAAACTGAACAATTTTCATGATTTAAAAAGAAAAGAAAACAGAAGTTTTCTTCTTAACAGAAGTAAGCTGTCGTCCCTTTAGTATCACAATCTTACTACCTGAAAAGATGGAAAAATTTGCATTGCATTTCAAAAAACCAAGTTGTAGATCTTTATTAGACATTGAAAGACAAATGTCCTTGAACACCGCATAACTGCCAAAGTATTAGATGTTAATTTACTCTAAAGAATGAGTGGCGCTCAGCTACCAGTGATCTAAAGTGAAGCATGCTTTGCACAAAATGTCCCCCTGGCTTTAACAAGACACATGTAGAACGTCAATAGCATTATCACCAGTGGTAACTATTAATAGATTATTAATTTCGGCAAGAACTCCAAAAGCCACAAAAAAAGAGAAGAGGATAAGGATTATTCTCATCCAGGCTTAGTCTTAAAAGTTAATTTAAACTATTTGGGGGGCTCAGAACAGAACATGATTCTATTAAAGAAAAATATGGGATTTGCCTGTTTTTAGTAGGCAAAATCTCATAGATGCACCATACACTGAAGAAATGAATGTAAAAATTATATTTAGTATTTATAATAATACCAAAACCTGATCCTCATGGATCTTATCCTGATTTCTCATGCCACATATCAAGAAGGGAAAAAAATCCAAACTCATGCAGAAGAAGACCCACTCTCTGTAACCTTCACTCCCTCTAACAAGATCATAAAAACTATAAATTTCAATCCTGTCAGATTGAATATATAGACCTAAGCCCTTTCATCTGCTTTTTGGGGAGTCCTAGAGGATATATAAAATTTAACAGGAGACTGATCATCCTGACCTTCTGCTTTCCCTTCCCATAATTCTTCTATCAAGTAACCTCAACATTGCAGTTAGTCAAAAAAAAATGCTATTTAAATACCTAGTTCCTAGGACATTGCAGGATGTGGAGAAACAGAAAACATATATGAAAACTCTAATGGACCAGCAATGAAATTCCCTAGCTATTTTCATATGCCTCTTGTTTGGAATCGCAGTAGGACTACAAATAGAATAAGACCATTAAATTTAACTCATAAGACCCTAGAAGAACCAACTGGTAGCTTTATATTACTGCCTACCTGGTATCCAAGTAGTGGAAGAACTTCTTTAATCACCATTTCGGTGGTGCTCCCCTTATTTATCCGTATTGAGACACAGGCCACTCCAACCCTGAGGACATGGATAAAAGTTTATATGCAAGATAAGAGAATCAAAGAAACAGAAACAATCTTTTCTCATTCTCTAAAAGGTAAAGGTTTCCTGTCGCACATATGTTCTAGTCGTTCCCGACTCTAGAGGGCGGTGCTCATCTCTTCGTTTCAAAGCCGAAGAGCCAGTGCTGTCCAAAGACGTCTCCATGGTCATGTGGCCGGGATGACTAAACGCCAAAGGCACACAGAACACTGTTACCTTCCCACCAAAGGTGGTCCCTATTTTTTCTACTTGCATTTTTTGCGTGCTTTCGAACTGCTAGGTTGGCAGAAGCTGGGACAAGTAACGGGAGCTCCCCCCGTTACACAGCACTAGGAATTCAAACCACTGAACTGCTGACCTTTCGATCAACAAACTCAGTGTCTTAATCACTGAGCCACCACGTCCCTGAATGTATCATAGGAGAATATATATATATATATATATATATATATATATGAACTTCTTGTTATTTGATTATTTATTTATGTTATTGTGGCATAATATGTTATTGAAGCTTCTGTTTTGTTAAATAAACTAATCATGAAGGACCTTCAAGATTCCTCTTGTTTTGCTCTTAAACTATAGTGTTCTGCTCCCTTTCATTTTCTTTGCAGCTTTTTAAAATCTGGTTTTTAACTCACAGACTTGTTACCATCATCTATAATTAGTGTCTGAGATTATATGATTATATAATTGCCCATCAAGCAAACACGATTCAGGGAGGCAAACATAGAGGGAGATGGGCAGTCTAGAAATGCAAAATATAAATAAAATAAATCATTTAAAAAAAACCAACAAAACAAAAATAATAAATATCAATGACATAAGCTATTGAGGACAAGATTTAGTTAGTTCCTTTCTTAAAACAAGCTTCAAATGCATATAATCATTGCCTGATTTTAAAACTAAAAGTTACCATTTCAGTGGTTAAAGCTAGTGAATAAACATGGCAAGATATTACACCATGTATTTCATTTAGAACAAAGGAAGCTGTTATGTATCTCTACAGATGTTGCTGGAACAATAATGCACACAGAATACTAGCATTTATCTTGCTTACTCTGAAAAACTGGCTAAGGAATTAAGAAGTTTAAAGATTAGAAAATAATGTAAAGGTATAATATATTGTTTTGATTTTAATAATTGCTGCTGCTTTCACTGTCATCCATCTTAGGCATGAATACACATAGCTTTGCTTCCTTTTCTTGTTCACCAATTATCTACTGACAGTCTCTTTTGCAACATGCAAAATTAAGTGGTTTTTTTTTCCCCACACAAGCATAAACAAGCATTGGCTAAATTTAAAAATGTTGGGAATGGCAATTGCTCCTTAAAAACAATGTGCTTTTATAGAAAGCCAAGGGCTTGCAGGAGAATTATATAAGTGGTAAAAGCGTGCAAAGGTTGTTGTTATTTTATCTGACAAATTTTCTAAGTAAATCATTAAAGAAGAAACAGCAGGTTGTAAAGACCACGTCATATTTATTATCAGACTGAATAATCAAAGTTTAAGAGTCCTGAATTTATAACACTCCAACTACATATTGTCCAAAACAAATACTTGTTTTCAATACCTGCCTCCTAAATCAACCATACAACAGTTGGAAGCAATCTGGCTCTCTGTTTGTTTTTCGCACTTATGACCACTGCAGCATCCCCATGGTCACGTGATCAAAATTTGGACACTTGGCAACTGGCATGTATTTATGACAGTTGCAGTGTCCCACGGTCATGTGATCACCTGCGAGCTTCTCACAAACAAAGTCAATGGGGGAAGCTGGATTTGCTTAACCACCACGTTACTAACTTAACAACTCCAGTGATTTGCTTAACACTTGTGGCAAGAAAGGTTGTAAAATGGGGCAAAGCTCACTTAACAGTCGTCATGTTTAACAAAGGAAATTTTGGGCTCAATTGTAGTCGCAAGTCGAGGACCACCTCTAATCAACTTTTAAAATTTTTATTCTAAAGTACACAGATCCAATCCTGTATCAACAGAAAGTAAGACAATTTGTCTTACAGAAAATAAGATCACATTTACGAATTATCATCCCATTCATCATATTACTTGGACATCCTATTTAGGTAACTGTACAAGATTCCTTCAAGTAATGTGATTATATAATTATGTAACATAATTAACTTCCAACTAGCTTAAAATGAGGACAGTATAATAATACATGCTTTATAGAGACTGGACAGCTCAGAGACAATCTAATCAGTAATAACCATCTTGCTGTTGGAGACACAACTGAGGAGCTGGAATACTCGTTCATATGTCTTAGACTCTGCCCAAAATATGTAATTTGCCATATTTTTAGAATGAAATCAACAGGATATAATTGATATGATTCTGCATCAATGGCTAGGTGTTAAAGTGTCAGCCCTTCGAAGCAACCTAGGTCAGGGAACAGACTCGACAGTTATGACTAGAACTACTTTATTTGATAGACTATTGTAATTAATTCTTGTCAGCCTGATGGCATCTTGCCTCCAGTGGTGGGATTCAAAAATTTTTACCAACCGTTCTGTGGGCGTGGCTTGGTGGGCGTGGCAGGGGAAGGATACTGTAAAATCTCCATTCCCTCCCCACTCCAGGAGAAGGTTACTGCAAAATCCCCATTTCCTCCTGATCACCTGGGACTTGGGAGGCAGAGAATAGATGGTGGCGGGGCCAGTCAGAGGTGGTATTTACCGGTTCTCCGAACTACTCAAAAGAACCTGCTGAATACCACCTCTGCTTCCCTCTTTCTCATACCTCAGGGAGATATATCAGAGCCAATCTAAGCTGTTTTTTTTTTTTTTCATGATTTCCTCATTTCCCAGGACTTAAAACTTGTTTTTGTTTTTGCAACTCTCACTGCATATTTCCTCCAAGGTCTTCTCAGTGGTTGTCCACATAAAAATGCATTTGTTCTTTTTGGATACATCCCTAATATTTTGACATCAAGTGCTATGGACTTTGAGATTGGCTGAAAAGAATCAGCATAGAACAATGGAAGGAGAAATCTATACAGAGAGTATTTCCTTAACAACCTTCATTGGGACCAGTAACTCAGAGGTGAAATGAATCGACAGATTAAAAAGCTACCAGTTTGGGCGAACTGGTAGTTAGTTAAAAACTGGTAGTTAGTTAAAAAAAGCTACTGGTTCCTCCGAACCGGTATTTCTGATCATGTTAATGATCAGAAATCATGTTAATGTGACTGTGCTATCTGGCTAGAAAGAGATAAGAGAACTTAGTTTAATGCTTTCAGTTTTTGTTTGCCTCTTAACCACTTCCTTGCACTTTGGAATGTTCAAGTGCCTGGTTACTGTGCTGTAAACAGGCACTTGAACAAAAGCAATGTGATCATAACAGAGCCAGGGCTAGGAGGTGCAAAGTGCGCTATGCAAACAAACAGCTTGCAGTACTCTCTTGAAATCCTTTCCTCTTCAATCTCTCCACTCAGCAAGGTGGGAGGGGAGAGAAATAAAGCATAAATATGTTCTTTTCCCCTTTGTTAAAAAAAAATCCTAAACGAATTAAAATGTTGACAAATCATACATAGCACCAATCCATTCTTTAGATAAAGTACAGGTAGCCTTTTTTTTTTTTTTTACCAACCACTCATTCAGTAACTGTTTGAAATTACAACAATGCTTAAAAAAATAACTTTGTGCCTAATTTATGCCCATTTATGACCTTTGGAGCATATCTCTGTCACATGATGCCCACTATAGTCAGTATGTGTGGACCTGTGCCTGAATCATGGGTCCCTCCCTGCAGAGCAGAGAAATTGGAAAGGATGAGATTGCAAGAGAGTAAGCTGTCTGCGTTTCTACACATGGAAATTGTGCCAACACAATCAGGAGACTGTGAGTTCAAGTCCCACCTTAGCTATTAATACGAATAAATAAATAATTTATAAAAACCAAATAAATATTATTTTTCTGAAAATTCAGGGCCATTCAGTTTTTATCACCAAATTCTGATGATTCAACATGGAGAGATTGATTCCAAGGATTGGGCAAAGTCTTTTTATTTGACATTCCAAAAATTGAGTCAACAATATAATGGTTGTAGCTTCATTGAATGTGACTTGGGGGTGGGGGTGGGAAAGCCACTCTTTTTTCAATCCCACCAAAGTGGATCTACAAATTAATCTCAATTTTGCTATTATTTGTAGTGTATAGTTAAACCATACAAAAAAAGCAAAGAAAAAGACTAGCGCTTTCCATATCCTAAATGGTGTTAAAATAATACAATGTAGTGACTACCTGGGTGTACTTAACCAACTCTTAAATTGTTTGTTTATGTATAAGGGTGACATTGTAGAATAAATAACCTCAGTACTTTGATATCATGCCATAGTAATAGCTAGCAACTTCTGTCTGACTTTATTAATACTTGGACAGGAAGCCAACAAGAAATGTTATCAAACAAGACTCATGGATATGTTCAGACAGTCCCTAGGTACAGAACTCCAAGCAAGGAAGACTTCAACTTGAACCTTCTTGTATCATACAAGAGGGATCTATGAATTGAGAGAAGTTGCATTCCCTGGTAAATATAGAAGCAGCTCCTAAAAGAAGAGGTCTATACAGGAGCTAGGTACACTACAGTAATTTGTTGCTGCAAGGCATGAATGCCTTTGAAGATTAGCCTGAAGATTAGCAGCTGCTTTGTAAGAGCTGTTTGCTTGAAGAATGTTATGTCTGGACAGGGTTTTCTCTCCCTCTCTCCTCCCTCCCTCTCCCTCTCTCTCCCTCTCTCTCTCTCTCTCTCTCTCTCTCCCTCCCTCCCTCCCTCTCTCTCTCTTTCCCTGTCCAATTCTTTCTTCCCTGTGCCTCATTAATTGTATTCTTCTCTTTCTTCTTTTCCCAGCACAGATATTCCTTCAAAAACCGGTTTCAGATGGATTTAGTAACCTAAAGTTGACCTGGCCATGCTACCTAGTCTGTTGATTTTTTTTTTCTGTTATATTTTGGTTGGATCATCTCTTTAGAGTATATAAATATACAACAAGAGTAGAACTGGAATTTGCTGAGAAAAAGATGACTCACTTCAGCCAGCCGGGATAAATCTTTATGACTTCATTCTCTTTAGGTTTAGCTCTGATAACCCACGCCTCAGGAACGGCTTCTTGGAACACAGACCCCGGCTGCGCCTCTTCAGTTGTATCGTTCCTATTAATGATGTCGTCACAAAACAAGGCCTGCTGAGTGAATGTCTGAAGTTCGTAATCTTGTTGATCATCACTGATGTAGTATGCCCTCAGTGCAGCCTCCTACAACAGTAAATCCTTGTTTTTTAAAAAAATCAAAAGAATATGCCTGAATGGAATGGTGATACAGCCCTCACTTATGTCAAATATACAATTCCAATCAGCAGTTACATTTCCCCTCAGAAGTTTCATGATAAGTATGACAAAAGTATGAAATTCTAATATTTACTCAATATTGGCAAGTTCTATCATAATACATCATCATGTATCCCAATTACCAATGTACCCCATCCTAGATTGTTCTTGTTAAGTGGGATAAGACCTGGTTAGCCCCGGGATGGGAGATTATTCAGTCATTCCAAGGTCTCATAATAGATTGAGAAATTGCAATGACATTCCAGAAAAAACAATAGCGATCTATTTTCCTAAATTTACTAAGAAATCAACATGGACCTGTTCAGTCATCAAACTCAACTTCATTCAACTTCTATTTTCCTAAATTTACTAAGAAATCAACATGGACCTGTTTAGTCATCACACTCAACTTCGCAGAAGCTTTACTTGATGTCCCCTCCCATTAAGTAGGCATAACTTAATAACCTTCAAAAATTGATTCTCTATTTAAAGTCAATCAAAACTCAAAATACAAATAGCAGCATTATGCACATGGCCAAACTGGAAATATACTGAAAATTAAAATAAAACTTAAAAACACATATCTATGTCAGTATATACTAGTTACTTTCTCACTGGTTACTGTTTTGCGATAAAAGAATAACTCTTGAACCAAATTATTAGTCTCTCTTACAAACAGAATTAAATTCTTCAGCATTTTCAATAAACAGTTTGGTCTGTTGGCATTCTTACCACAACTTCTTCATTTTTTGCAATCCTTGGAACTGTGATAAGACGATACTGATTACGTTTTACTGCATCATTCCCATCATATATTTTTAATATTTGTTTACCTAAAACAAAAACAAGTATTCTAATGTGTAACACAAGAAATACAGTTAAGTAGCATACACCTCCAAATTGCAGAGGCGTTCGAAAGGTTAATTCTTAATTGCTATATTAATGGATTGTGATTGCAGTTCTATTATTTACACTGATCAAAGAGGCTACATCGAGTAACGTCTGATCTGTGATAATTAGTATAAGTAAGTGTATTATTTATATGACAAAATTTGATGAAAATGTTTAAACCGGAGATGTCACGCTATGACTTGAATTTGTATTATAAATAAAAAACTTTTTTTAAAAAAAGAATAACGTCTGATCTGTAAGAAATAAGCAAGAATTTCTCAGATGCATTTTAAAAACATTTTCTCTTCCACTCATGAGCTATCAGACTGTATTAGCTGTCATCCAGTAGTATAGATTACCACATGAAGAGTTCTCTTTTGCTGCAGCTCCTTAATCAAAAGCTAGATAAGTCATCAGTCAGAGGTTCTCTAGTGCAGTGTTTCTCAACCTTGGCAACGTTAAGACATGTCAATTAACTTCAATTTCCGGAATTTTGATGGTTGTAATCCATATGTCTTCAGGTTCCTATTGAGAAACGTTGCTCTAGTGCAGGGTTGTCAAAGTCAAGGCCTGTGGGCCAGATCCGGCACCTGGGGTGCTTAGATCTGGGCCACAAAGCTGTCCTGGAAACAGCAAAGGACCGGCCTCTGGCCTCTGCCAGTGAAAACGGAGCTCAGGAGGGCTGCATGATCCTCCCGAGCTCTGTTTTCGCTGGCAGAGGGTTGCAGGAAGCCATCGCAGCTGAAAGCGGAGCTTGGGATCCCGTTTTGACAGCAGAGCGCTCGGGCCACCATCAGCACCCCCGCCATGAGTGATGTCAAGCTGGCCACACCCACTCTGGCCACACCCACCCCATCCCACCCCAAGATTAAACACAACCCTGATGCGGCCCTCAATGAAATCGAGTTTGACACTCCTGCTCTTGTGAATCATGCACTGATCAGGGAGTTAGACAAAATTATGTTTAAGACCTACCAATTTTTAATCAGAAGCCATCAGTCAGAAGTGCTCTAATAAAGTGAGTGTTTCTGAACCTTGGAACTTTAAGACATGTGGACTTAAAGACACGTGGATTTCATTACTCTAAAAGCTTAAAAATTGCATTGGCACCTTTTCATTTACAATCCTGGATGCTCTAGCAAAATCTGGATCCAAACGGATCTTGAGAACCAATGCTAATTACCCAAAACCATGATTTATGGCTGTACAAAACTGCCAGCCTTCATAGCAACAGCAACAGCACTTAAGACTTATATACTGCCCCATAGTACTTTACAGTACTCTCTGGACAGTTTACAGAATCAGCATATTGCCCCCCAACAATCTGGATCCTTAATTTACCAACCTCAGAAGGTTGACTCAGGAAGGCTGAGTCAACCTTGAGCCTCATCAGGATCGAACTCTTGGCAGTGGGCAGAGTTAGCCTGCAATACTGCATTCTAATCACTGCACCAGGCTTCATAAGTATAAACCATCAATGCCATAATGCTAAATGCCATTTCTACATAAGACTCCATTCAAATGGTCCACAAAATCACATCCACAGTCATACCACTTTCCATTTATAGACAATGTTTGCTCCATTTTCATCATCCTAAAGCAGTAATAATTTTCTTATTATCCAGCAAAAAATGAGTCACAGCACGATTTTAAAAAAGCGTATAAAACTGACAAAACCAATATGATCTTCAGCACTCCATGCTATGAATTTCATTTTATAGCTCAGGGAACAAAGTTTATGAGGTCCCAAGAGCGAAACAAATATTGATACAAGTAAAATAAGCCTCCAAAACTGTAATTCAAAATTTTTAAATTGTTTGGAATTCTCTGATAACAGAAACACATAGAATTTAAAAACGAAAACCAATTAGCAAGTGCACAAAACATTCATATAAAAATAAAACAAAATTAATAAAACATACTATGAATCAGCAATAAAAATGTTGAGTCTTTCTTAATAGAGGCTTCACAATGTTTTAGGGCTCAGTCCATGAGATTCTGTTACTTCGTGTCCTACTTCTGAAAATTTTAATAATGTTAAAAAATCTGTATACTAAATCCTGCTAAATATTCAGTATAACCTGAAGGTATTGGAAAGCTCTTAAAAACATGTTGGTTAAGTAGTTGCTTTTTAAATATAAGTTGTTGGAGAACACAGTCTGATTTCATAAAATCAGACTTTGTTCTCCGACAACTTACGATTTCATAAAATCAAACTTCTCCCATAGTTAAGATAGCTTTAGATTTATACTTCAGCCAAAAAATCTACAAATGATTTCAGAACAAAGAACTGTCCAAAATCCAGAGGATTACGAAATTAGAAAGAAAATCATTAGCTCCTACAATTATCTCGGATTTCATACACCCTTATTCAGGAACACCTATTGAATGGTAGAGAACACATGGTAAAAAATAGGACCATGCATCCTACATGGAATATTTTGGATTTAACTTCAAGCAATGCTTCAGAATCCATGGAAACACATGGCATTTCCCGTGCCCTAGCAGAAAATATTTCATGCGGAGGAGGGATAGTTGTTTAGAATGGAAAACACCAAATATTCTAATGTGGGAAGACAAGATGAATCTTCAGCATGAAAAGCTCAGAGGACTATCTCTGTATCTAGTGCATGAAAAGATTCTGAAATCAACAGGAAGGCTATTGGAGAAAGGAAAAAGTGATCCCCATCCTTAAATCAAAACTTCTCTAATGCAAGCATTTTAAACCATTTCATGACTGAAAAGTACAACAAATAAAAGCACAGTTAAGAGAACGATTTAAGGTAGATAACAGGACATCTGGAACTGAGCAATAGAAGACAAAATTTGAATTATGTACAAATAATGATACGTGTAATTGCCGAAATGTATGCACTCTTGCTGAAATTTGAAATGGAATATGAACATGTGAAAGGGTATAGGATAAAATTGGCCGAGGATTTGGTACATACATTGTTAGAACAATGGGAAAATGTAGCTTAAAGGACTGAAATTCACATTATAATTTAAAGGAGAATTTTTATAAAATGATGCACCATTGGTATATGACTCCTGAAAAATTATCTATCGTGAGAAAAAGTACTTCAAATGTATAATATGTTGGAAATGCGGACAACATGAAGGGTCATGTTATCCCGCTTGATGGACTTGTAAAAAAGCCAGAACGTTTTGAATTCAAATACATTTGGTAATACACAGAATTATGGAGACAAAGATTCAACTGGAAAAAAAAAACTTCTTAGTAGGGATTAATGCACAGACAACTAGGAAAACGGCCATTGCAGATTGTTTTTATATATGATCATTGCTGTGTGAAGATTCTGAAATACCCACAACAGAGGATTGGTACAGAAGTCTGACAGAGGTAGAAAAATTGTTTGCTTAGAGAAAGATCAGCTACTACATTTATTAAAAACTGGACAGCCCTTAGGGACTTTTAGCCGAAAAAAGAAAATGAACTGATGATTTTATCGATCAGTAGACTAGAAAGGTTACATTATGGAAAGAAGGAAACTTTGATGTAACCTTAAGAGAGAGAGGGGGCGTGGAAATATATAAAAGTTCTTATAACTGCTGTTAAGAAGAGCAGAAGTCACTTGTTTGTTATTCTTTTTTTCTTTCTTTTCTACTTTTTTTTATATTTCTTTTTCACTTTTCTATTACTTTTCTCTATTTCTCTTTAACTCAAAATTTATATTGTTTTTACTCTGTGGAAAAACATGGTTAATAACAATTATATTAAAAAGTACAATAAATAAGCTAACAAAATAGTAAGGAGCTCTTAAATTTGACAATGCAAAAGGCAATGAGATCTATATCTTGAGGATTATTTATGTAAAACAAAATTCTGCTTTTTAAATCACATTGAAACTAGTGTATAGACCAGTGATGGCGAACTTTTTAAACATCGAGTGCCCAAACTGCGCACGCATGCCCAAACTGAAAGGTCCACACACGCACGCATGAACATGCACATGCACAAACATATGCACATGCACAGACATATGTGCACAAACATGTGCATGCACAAACGTGTGTGTGCATGCACAGACATGCACACATGCGCAGCAGAGACCCAAAGACCGGCAGGAGGCAGGGCATCCCAACACCAGCAGCGTAGCAAGAGGTAAGATCTTTTTCTTTCGTGAGCTTCTGTTTCGTCGTTTGCAGGGAAACAGAAGCTCACGAAAGAAACGACACAGAGATCTGACCTGAGGTGACAGTGCGCATGCCAGCAGAGAGGGCTCTGTGTGCCACCTCTGGCACACAGGTTTGCCATCATGGGTATAGACAATTAATCAACCACAATGAATACATATATTTAATTCAATAGAGAGAGCAGCGGATTTCTTTTCATATGTCATTTTATAGTTATGATATTAGGTTAATTTAACAGTTTTAACCTTATGTTACATATTTTTAAATATTCAATAATAAAAAGCTACCGTTATATTTCAAAGCAGCTGCATTGCAGGCACTTTAAAGGGCTGAATCATGCAAACAGCTTGAATTAATCATTTGTTTAATAACAATATTGTCAATTACAAGAGCTGGCTAGATGTCAGCTGTGCTAGTAGGCCATATGAGGAAATCATCTCCAAAAAAGGCTAAAATGTTCATTAAGACTGGCTATAATAACAAAGTCTAACAACTCAGACTGTGTTGTTCCTTCTCCTTCTTACACTTCAGTGAACCAAGGAGGTATCTACCTGAACAACTTCCAAATGTTATATCTTTGTTTGGATTTTAAAGGTTATTTCATCCCTTTTTGCTCAGGTAAGGAGGGTTTCTGCATATTTCTGCAAGATCATCTTCCTGACCAGTGGTGGGTTGTTCCCGGTTCGCAAGAACCGGTAGTAAAAATTTGTAGTAGTTTGGAGAACTGATAATAACATTGGCTGGCCATGCCACCGAACCGGTCCCCGGCCCAGTCGCCACTTGCTTACCCCGCCCACCTCAACAGATGCTTTTTTTTTTTTTTACTTTTAAAAGCATTTTTTCTACAACCTCTTTGGCCGAAAAAATGCTTTTAAAAGTAAAATAAAAAGCCTCTGATGATCGCGCAGCTCAGCTGGGATCGTCAGAGGCTTTTAAAAGCATTTTTTCTACAACCTCTTCAACCAAAGAGGTTGTAGGAAAAAAACGCCTTTAAGAGCCTCTGGTGATCCCAGCTGAGTTGCCTGATCGTCAGAGGCTTTTAAAAGCATTTTTTTCTGCAACCTCTTAAGGTTGTAGAAAAAATGCTTTTAAAAGTTAAAAAAAAAAAAAAGTTGGCCATGCCCACCCAGTCACATTACCTCCCACCAAGCCATGCCCACAAAATAAGCCACGCCCACAGAACCGGTAGTAAAAAATTTTAGAACCCACCCCTGCTCCTGACTCTCTACACCAGGGATGTCAAACCCGCGGTGTCACATTGTCATCCCGTGACGTATCACAACTTTTTTCTTTCGCTAAAGGGGGATGGGCGTGGCCAGCACATGATGCATCTGGCCCACGAGTTTGATACCCCTGCTCTACACCAACGTCTTGACAATCTTTTGGACTGAACATTTTGCACAATAAAAAAACTGTAGATTATCTGTGTATAAACCTTTGTGCTCTGGAGAGAATATGTACTTAATATCAGATGCCACTTACTCGAATCTGTTGAAACTTGGGATTCTTTTACTGATGATTGTGTTGAACTATCAACATCATCGTCATCATCTGTCGAAAGAAAAATTGGGAAAGGCATTTTATATGGAGGATAATGTATTATTTTAAGGATACTACAGTATTCAGAAAAAAGCAGGCTCCCAATATTCTTCTTCTTACATTGACATAATCTATTACATAATGAAGAGTGCTGAATCAGGATACTAATGACATTTATTCCCTTGGGGGATTAAAAATCACTATAGCCACAATGAAACTGTTTCATAGCAGAGATGTGCAAACTTCATTAACCCTGGAACATTCTGCTCCTGAATCAAAGAACCTGGCACAAATTTATTACGTTTTATTTATTATTTTTATGAAGAAGAAAATGATACTGCAACAACCTATATTCGGCTTGCTATTGGGGTTCCTGAATTCATGGAGAAACTTAAAATACGTGTTTTTGATTAGGCAGCTGATGTCAGGTGCAAAAGACCCGGATCACAGGTGAAGTTCCAATTAAACTGATTTTTTTACTACTCATGCTTAAGTACAAGAATCTACTTTAGCCCTACTTTCGTCCTAAATAAGGGTCAACGGGATTCAAGAGAGGTCGGACTTGCTCCTCTTTTGATTCCATCTCCAGGTTCTGTCATTCCTTCTCTTAGCTGATGGACAAAGCTGAGACAATCAATTGGTTTAGCTCCTCATAGAATAGTGTTTCTCGTACAGGAGAAAGAGCTATAACACACTTAGAGGAGGCATGTTAAATTCTGGGGATTTTAGGAAGAAGAATTGGGAGAAAACAGGAATTAAGATGCAATGGTTGGCAACCTAGATGGATTAAACTGTGATGTTTGTTGACAACTGGTTAGTGGCAAAAGAGAACAGGTGGTTGGTAAATCTGTAATATGTTGGGAATAAAGCTTACTTTGTAGCTTAAAGAATACAAATAAGTGGACAACAACCCAGGAAAAGAGTCACCAAAAATCTAAAAAGAAAGTATCTTGGCTTTTTATTTATGTTTGCTTTAATTAAACAATTAAATTTAATTGGCATGCCAGTTTGGTGTAGTGATTAAGGCACCAGGCTAGAAACTGGGAGATTTTGAGTTTTTGGCCTTGATTACAAAGCCAGTGGGTGGCCTTGCCAGTCACTCTCTCACAACCCCAAGAAGGCAATGGCAAACCACTTTTGATAAACCTTGTCAAGAAAACTGCAGGGACCTTTCCAGGAAGTCTCTGAGAATCAGACACCACTGAATTGGGGGGAGGGGGGGATGTTTTTAAATATGCCATCCAAAGAAAGGTTTCTGAGATTGGCAGCTAAATAAAATAAATAAATTTTCCTGAAAATGAAAATATTGGTCTAAGATGTACTGTAGAGGGCAGCAAAATATTGCTTTAGACTCTGAACGGTGTTGTTGTTTTTTTCAGGATAACCCAAGGAAAATAAATCACAGGATTAAAAAAAAAAGTTTGCATATTTGTCTGATCACCAAATCTATCCCATGTTGTGCTATAATGGCCTCTTTTTTTTCCACTACAAATTTATAATTGGTGTGTTGGCTTGGAATTGTGGAAATTATAGTTTCAATCTATGTGTAACACATCAGAAAAAGAAGGCTGTACTATACAATTTTTGATAAACTGAGAATTTAAATTTTAAAATTTAAAATTTAAAATTTTGGCTTACTACTTTGCCAAAATATTAGTTTAGTTTGCTGTCACCATCATCCTTTTCCAGTAAAGGGTTAAAGCGTTTTCTTATATTTAGTGAGTTCAAAACAAACCCCCAAAACCACAGTTTCCTGATATTTTGAACTGGGCAAGCCATTTCATCTCATCTTTTTTTGAAACCTACAAACTGTCAATGTTTCTAACCCTTGGAAGAAAAATAATCTCAAGTCTCTTGCCAGAATAGCTATTTACATTGATGATAATGTATTATAGCTAGTTCTCGTTTTGCGACTACCATGGTCAGCAACTGTTTGCAGTTACAAAGGTAAGGAAAATAAACCAGCGCCCACATCTACTACTTTAGCAAGCCTATAAAACAAAGGAAATCTGAAGTAAGATCATAAAAACAGTAACGGTTCCACTTAGCGATTGCTTTGCTTAATGATCGAGTTGCCAGTTCAGTTTATGGTCACTAAACAAAGACTACCTGTAGCAGACCAAATCAAATCATAATGTTATTTAACAATAACTCATAATAATATGAATATAAGAGAAAGACAGAGAAAGAGAGAGAGAGAAAACAATAATGCAACAGTTTAACATGATTCTGAATCGCTTAACATAATTTCTGAACTTTACCTGGCTCTGCTTGTATGCTTTCTGATATTCGGAAACAGTGCATTTTACTGAAGTTCCGACAAAATAATCGCACACAACTGGGAGGGAGAATCATGTTCCTTAATCTTCCAAATGTACACTCAGGAGGCACAATCACACAGCAAGCGGCATGAGCCTACAGAAAACACAACATCAAGTTCTCAAGAAGCTATGTCAGTATAGCCAAGAGGTTGCAACATTACATTTTGTCTTCTGTAGTTTGTGATATTCTACAGTGGCAGCGATAAAACATAGAAATGGTGGGAGTTTTGACAAACTTAATGTTTTTTTCCCCAAAAAGCTGCTATGCGGATCAGAGATGGAAACACTTATATTTTCAGTGCTATATGATTCAGCATTCTTTTAGCCGTAACTACTATTAATTTCTCACAAATCCAAATCCATATGTGAGCTTCAATAATAATTTGAGTGTCTATATACTCAGAAGTACAAACTGTTTCAATGGAGGAAGAAAGTTCATACTTAGGAAAATCAGATTTCCCTTACAAGGAATGAGGAAATCGTTTGAACACAAGAATGCTTCCGTTCTTTTATAAAATAAGTACTGATAGCATCAGAAATAACAGCTAACATTTATCTGGTTTTTTTAAGTTTACTTTTACTCTATGGTTCTACTTCATGATATCAAACTTCTTTTATTAGCGTCTGTGTGTTTCCAAGTCAGTCTTGATTCCTGGCAACAACTGTACAAGTCCCTACAGGTCTTTTGGCAGCATTTTTAAAGTGCTTTCTTCCTATGGCTGAGAGGGAGTGACTGGCCCAAAGTCACCCAGCCAGCTTTGTGCCTAAGGCAGGTTTAGAACTCACCGTTTCCTATTTCTAGCCTGTTGTTTTATCCATTACACCAAACTAATTCTCTTAGTCTGTCTTACTTTTTCTTATTCTTAAAACTTTTTTAAAATTAATATTCCTCCTTTATTGTTTTTATAAGCAACCCAAGGTGGCGAACATATCTAATTTAGTTTAGTTTACTTTATTGTCATTGCACATGGTACAACAAAATTAAATGCCGTCTTCAGTGTACATTATAACTATAAAAATAAAAATACAAACATACATCCTTTACATTCTATATAACTGAAATTGAAAACCCAATATTGCACTATACCGTAGAATTCAATATGGTTATTGCCCTGGGATAGGAGCTGTTTTTCAATCTATTTGTCCTTGTTTTTATTATCCTGTACCATCTGCCAGATGGTAATAGTTCAAAAAATGGATGCTCAGGATAAGTTGGATCTTTAAGAATGTTTTGAACTTTCTTAAGGCAGCGGGAGCTATAAAGCTCTTCCAAAGAGGGCAGAGGGCAACCAATGATCCTCTGGGCAATGATGTTGACCCTCTGGAGTGCTGTCCTATCTGCCACTGTACAATTGGCAAACCATAGACAGATGCAGTAAGTTAAAATACTCTCTATGGTGTAGCAGTAGAAGGCCACCAGCAGTTTTTCATTCAGTTGTTGTTTCCTGAGAAGTCTCAGGTAGTATAATCTCTGCTTTTGATCCTCTTTTTTCCTCCTATTTTCCTCACAACAATCCTGTGAGGTGAGCTAGACTGAGAGAGAACGATTGGCCCAAGGTCACCCAGTTAGCTTTCGTGGCTAAGACCGAACTTGAACGCAGAGTCTTCCGGTTTCTAGCCTGCTGCCTTAACCACTAGACCCGTGATGGCAAACCTATGGCATGCGTGCCAAAGGTGACACGCAGCGCCCTCTCTGTGGGCACGCGAGCCATTGCCCCAGCTCAGCTCTGCTGCGCATGCATGTGCGCTGGCCAGCTGGTCTTCGGGTCTCTGCCATGCATGCGTGGGGGGTGGGGCGCATGCGGTGTGTACATTCATGTGTGGGGGCAGGGCGCATGCAGTGGTTTGTTCAGCATGCGTGGGGGACGAGCCACATGCAGGGGCTTTGCATGCATGGGGGGCAGGGCACATGCGGGGAGCCTTACACGCATGCCTTGCACGCATGCAGGAGGCAGGGCACACACGCATACACGGAGGCCAAACACACATTGCATTGGGGGGGGCCCGAAAAGGTTAACCATCACTACATTAGATCAAACTGGCTCCCTCCTTAACTAGCAGAAATGTTACCAACTGTAGAAATTTATTAACTACACAGACAGACACACGCACAGAGACACACGCCATGCTAATAATTCTGAAGCTTATTTGATTTAATAAGTAGCCAACAGAACATCCAGGAATTTTGGATTGCTGATTGTTAGAATGTTTTCTATCTTGTTTTCTAATTAAGGTAAAAGATTAACCACATGTCTTCTCTTCCTTGATCTCCATAGCACAAAAGATATTTTGTGTGCCTGAATGGTTTCAAATTCTGACAGCAGAATAGAAAAAAAAATACTTTCAAGTTTAATTCAGGTGAAACTTTAATAGCCTGCTTTTAATAGTAAAAGCGAAAAGGGATAAGGCACACACATACATATGTCCTCGCTTAATGATGATAATGGGCTGGAATTTCTGTTGCTAAGCAATGCAAAATCATAGGTCTGGAATGCTAAGCAACAGCAATTCTGGCAAGCCCTGGTTACTATTGTTAGGTGAATTACTGCAGGTCATTAAGTGAGAACTTTTAACTCCCTGCTGATTTTGTTTGTGGGAAGCCACCCAGGAAGGCTGCAAATCATGATTATCTGATCGTGGAAATCTGGGCTGGTTGTTGAGTGACCGGATCACAGACCCATGGCCATGGGGCACTGAAAGAGCCAGAACTTTAAGGACTGGTCGTAAGAAGTACTCCTTCAGTGCTTTTCTAAGTTTGAACAGTTGTTGAATGAATGGTTATTAAACGAGGACCACCTGTATGCTGAAACTTTGCCAAAACTTCCTCATATACTTTTCTCTCAGCTACAGAGATATCCACCAAATGTGGTCCAAAGGGCCAAGATGGCGGCCATGAAAAACAGACAAACTGAATCAGGCTCAGTCACATCTTTGTGGTCAGCATCTTGATTTCTTTTGACCATCCCCACACCTCTGCTCGCTAGGTTTTAATGGTGGAAATAATCATGGGTTATTTTCCTCCCTCAAACCAAATTCTAGTTTTCTATTTAATGCTGCTATTCAGAAGGAACAAATGTTCTGCTTTGAAGGCTAAACATTTAATCTCTAACTTTGTGTTGTACCAATACATTCTATGAATTTAAATAACCATTTTTATTATTAATCTAGGCATCACTATGGAGGACATGATGGTTTCCCAGAATAGATGCTGTGAGGTTTCATGTACATATCGATACTGTGTTTTGTTTCGCACAGTTATGGAAAAGATCTTTTGGAGAACAACTTTCTTTCCTTTGAATATATTTATTCTTTGTTTCCTTGGAGACTTGCCTAAGCCTTAATCTACTTACCAGGATGCCACACCATTCACATCTCATACCCGAGAGCACATCAGAAGAGCCACAGGTTTTCTTACAAACTTTGCAACGTGAGCCTGATGAAAGGTTTCCCTCCCTCCAGTGATGATGGTACATATCCTATAAAGAGAAGCAGAATCACAAGAATTACGTTAAGAGGGCATCATAATGTTTTGCCCTAACAGGGTCGAACTTGAGTACTTGGATGGGAAAGTATCCAAAAGCTACCCAACAGACTATACTGGGAAATATTATAAAAAGTAATCCAGAAGAAAGCAGAGGCTTTGCCCCATTTTACAACCTTTCTTGCCACAGTTGTTAAGTGAATCACTGCAGTTGTTAAGTTAGTAACACGGCCGTTAAGCAAATCCAGCTTTCCCCATTGACTTTGCGTGTCAGAAGGTTTCAGGTGATCACATGATGCAGAGATACTGCAGCCGTCATAAATATATGTCAACTGCCAAGCGTTTGAATTTTGCTCACGTGACCTTGGGGATGCTGCAATGGTCGCAGGTGTGAAAAACAGTCATAAGTCACTTTTTTTAGTGCTGTTGTAACTTCAAATGGTCACTAAATGAATGGTTGTAAGTTGAGGACTACCTTATAGTTATATATTTCTGGTTTTTCTTTGAAGATGTTTTACTTCTCGTCCAAGAAGCTTCTTCAGCTCTGGCTGGATGGTGGGGTGAGAGCTGAAGGAGCTTCTTGGATGGGATGGGATGAGAAGTGAAACATCTTCAAAGAAAAACCAGAAAGTCCAGTTGCCTCTTGAAAAAAAAGCATCTTTGGGACAACCATGACCTGGATGACTGAGAATCTCCATAGACATAACAAACTATTGTTATAATTTATTAAATAAATTATTGTTGCTATTATCATCAGAAATTAACTCTGATAAAGTAGTTACCGTACATTATCACATTGGAAGAATCTAAGATCAAACAGAAAGGCAAGAAAAATACATTTTCAGAAATCTTAATGACCATATTGAGCAGCCAGTTATTCATCTATATGTTAAAGACTTAGAAAATGTTGTTTTATGTATCTCTGAGCAAATTTACTTCCCATGTTATTCAAAGCAAACCCAAATGATTATGGAAAAGGATTGCTCATAGCCCCAATTTCTTTCAAATGAATTGAGTTCAGCAAGCTGACAGGATCCCATCAACTATGGCCATAAATAACATCTGAAAATCAATGCATCTCTTCTTCATTTAAAATCTGGTGCATCTTTTCAATATTATATAGAACTCTTATATTAAGTATATTTATTTTTAAAAAACTTAGTAAACCCTGAGAAGTGAAGTTGGGAATTAAACTTGATGAATTTCCCTGGAGCTCTCTGTGGTATTGAATTGAATGTGAACACAATCCCCAAGAGGCACTAAACTCTAAACTTTCACTACATTATGCAGTGAAAGTTTATTTAATGCATCATACATGGGCTGGCATGTTTGCTTTTCCTAAATACCTATTAAATGCAAATTATGTAATTTGTATTGATTTATACTATTTCCATAATAGCATAAATGGAGGAGAATGGTGTAATTTACCTTATCTGATTAATTATATTATTATGCAAAGGACTTTCAGTAATGCAAAGAAGGAAAAATTAATATGTCCTTTTTGCATTTTGTTTTAATTATTATATCCAGATTGTTTCAGCAGGACATTCCTGCTATATCAAAAGGATGTTTGAATGGAAATTCTGTCTGTTGCATCTGAAATCTATCCAAAGTGGATCTGATAAACCAAACTATCATTGAATAAATTTTAATTTAGATTTTATGAACAAATATCCAAGCAAATTGGTTACCAATTAGTAGCAATGCTCTACTAGTTATTTTCTTTGGTCACAAGTTTCCAAAAATTTTTGGCAGCATTGGTCAATTGCTTATTTATTTATTTATCTATCAAATTTCACATCACATTTGCGTGACTCTGGATACAAATTAATTTTTGTTGTTATCTACCAAACTATTACTGAAAAACACTGAAAAGCTAGGATACATAAAATTGGATGAGCAATATTTAAAGGTGTGGGAAATTTATTTAGCTGAAAAGATAATCCAACAACAAGAAGTTGGGAAATTTATTGAAATTCATCACCATTAATTATATATTAATGATATTTTACAACAGTGTTTAATATTTATGTATATGTATGTAAAAATCACTCATATACACACAGACACGTAGAGGCATACACAGTCAAAAGCAATTTTTCTTTTCTTTTTTTGTTTTTTGTTTTGTTCTTGTTTTAGTTTTCCTTCTAGCACTGCATACTGTGGATAACATTTAAAGTTTTGATAAAAGTGTAACTAGCTAAAAGTATACTCACATGATTTTGATGACCATCTTGATGGCACTCACGGCAATCACTGCAAGCAAAGGGGGCACAGTCTGTGTGTACATGTATCTCACACACTGAAATAAACGGGGGAAAGCAAAATTAACTTTCTTCTGCATCTGTTTACCCACATGCATCTCTATATTTACTTCTTTCCAGCATAAACTTTAAAAAACTATTACAATTGGTTTATCGTTGTAGAATCACGCCCCTTCCAGTCCGCGGAAGAACCTCTCTCCACCAAACCGGTCCCTAGTGCCCAAAAGCACTTGGTAGTGCAGTGGTCTAAGGCACCCTGTTATTAAGACCAGCTGCCTGCAATTACTGCAGGTTCGAATCTCGCCAAGGCTCAAGGTTGACTCAGCCTTCCATCCTTTCTAAGATAGGTAAATTGAGGACCTAGTTGTGGGGGCAATAAGCTGACTTTGTATAAATATACAAAAGAATGAAGGCTATTGCTTAGCGCATTGTAAGCCGCCCTGAGTCTCCGGAGAAGGGCGGCATATAAATCAAATTTTAAAAAAAAAAAATCAAATTTAAAAAAAAAAAAAGGTTGGGAGCCACTGATGTACAGTATATTTACCAATGTAGTATGGCTGTATTATTATTATTTTTTCTTCTTATTTTCTTCTTTACTCCTCCCCATCTGTTGCTTTGCATGTATAATAAAAATGTCTGTATCAGAGACAAATTCCCCATTCAGATATTCCCAATATCTTCGAGACTGCCTTCTACCGCATAACTCCCAACGACCGGTAAGAGCCCACAGAGTTGGTCTCCTCCGGGTCCCGTCAGCTAAACAATGCTGGCTGGCGGGCCTGCGAGGGAGGGCCTTCTCTGTGGCTGCCCCAGCTCTCTGGAACCAGTTACCTCCTGAGGTCCAGACCATCCCCACCCTATTGGCCTTCTGAAAAGCGGTGAAGACCTGGCTTTTCCGGCAGGCCTGGGGCCGTTGATCTCGCTCTTGCGATCTGGCGAGATCTGGCCATGAATGGTGTGAATGAGTTGTAATGTTTTTAATGTTTTTAATTTTTAAATGTTTTTTATAATGATTTTAAATGCATTGTGAGCCGCCCTAAGTTTTCAGAGAGGGGCAGCATACAAATTGAATTAATAAATAATAATAAATAAATAAATTCAGTGGTGAATGCCATGAAACAAAAGGAAATAAGTTTCAATGACAGACATAATTCCAATGCAAGAATACAGGTTTCCTTTTGAATTTTTTTTCCAGCAAGTCTTTGGACTTTCTTTAAAGATAAAAAAAACACTCATACATTTTTTTTTTCATAGAAAAACATAGCTCGGAATCAGGAGAAAAGGAGTCAACAGTGAAATTAAGCTACGCTGACTAGTAGTATAAGCCAATCTCTTTGGAGTTTACCTTCACAGCGAAATGCTGGACTTTCCAACTGCTTTCTGCACACAGAACAGAATTTTCTCTTGTAATGTCCTATGGGTCCTAAACAATGTGCAACTGGAACCTGCAGGGGGAAAAGGTATGGATTAACTACATATTGCACAGTGGTTTGTGTTGCATGTACATTTTAATTGTTATGCATTTGGTTAATGCCCAATCAGAAGCCAAAGCTCCATTTTTCTATGAATATGTAAAGACAACATTCAGAAGGAGCCATAAATCTATTTGGCTGCTAACAGTCAATATCAACTTGATGGCATATAACCAACCAATTACTATATTAATTTCTTCTCATTAAGAAACATTATTAATTATATTTATTGTTGGAAACATTAAAAATATGAACTATGCATCATTAACAAATCCTACTTATCACACAAGCTGATTTACCAGAAACCAGGGAAGAAGCTTGGAACTATAAATCAATAGTGATAAATTCTTTGACAAAAATCAAGGAAATTCATTAGAAAAAGTCCAGAATTAAGGCTACCTCAAATTCAGTCAAATTCCACAGCCAGGGATTTTAGAAACTGAGGTTGCTGCCTTGGGAAATAAATAACCCACAGTCAGTAATGACACTGTAGAGTCAAAGCTATGTTTATCTATAATTAGTTTTCCACCTACCCTTACTTTCCCTTGTTCAGTCAGCCCAAATCTGGGGGGAAGCAAAAATTATTCACCGGGTGCAGATCTTATACAACCTTCTCCACAAAGGTTTTATGCAAGTGGGATTCTTTCTGGACTGATTTGACTTCTCATGTGTTTTCTGACTTCCCCGTGTCCACAATGGCAATTATGCTGAAAATTGGGAGATATCCCTGCCATTTTGTATATGTACTCATCACTTACTCTCAAAATATAAATTTATCCTTGGCTAAAAAATGTTACCAAATTGACTTAAGTCAACATTTTGTATAACATCATTAACGTCATGAGATATATCTATAATTGAGGCATCCGTTTTAATTTCCAATCTTTTGACTTGGGTGAACATAATCCTGTGTTCACCTTAATTCTGCTATTAAACCAGCTAAATTGGCAGCCACTTGAGGTGAGATGGGTAATGTAGAAATTTAATACATAAATATTTTTATTGCTGGATTTTAAAGTAGAACATTCTGGAATAAGATTGTATATTGAAGATAGCATTTGTAGATTTGCTATACAGCCTTTATAAATATTTAATAATGACATTACTAGCATTGGCACTTGGTATATTTTGAGATAACGGGTTATGTACTGATTTCTTTACTTATTAGAATTGCATTCTGCTTTCTCCCAAGCTGTGCAAAATAGCCCACACAGTTTTTGTACCCACTGTTATTTGCATAATGATTTGTGAGGTTGGTGAGGCCTAAGGTCAATCAGTGAGTCATAGAAATTGTCTAATGTATGAAGCAACTAAATATACCATAAGGAGAGAGGAAGAAATGCAAGCTGCTGTTATGAAATGCCAACCTTATCTTTAAGGGCAGCTTCCTACCTACTAAACATTTTTTATGTAGTTCATCAAACTATCAAAAATTAACTAAAACATCACAAAACAAAGTTATAGCAGGCCAATGACAAGCAAAGGGTACTATTCTTTCTGATGGTCAATGTACTGTACATTAATGCAGGAACTACATGGCCTAGAGAAAATACTGGGGATATGCAATTCAAATTATTCACTGAATGCCAGAGAGCAAAAAGACCAATGACAACAGCTTGCTTTGATACAGTAAATGAGAAGTATTTTCTGTCTACTGTATTTCAGCTCCTGGAGCCCAGGAGCTGAAATAAGGGTGAAGGCAACTGAATGAAAGTAGGTGGTAAAACAATTTACTGAGCCTCCTTCTGTGCATTAAGAATTGGAAAAAAACTATGTTACTGGTTCATGTATTTCTTTATCACTTCAATTTATACACCTCTCCATTTCCCAGGACTCTAAACTGCTTACAAGGCATTACGTACAATAGAGGTAAAACTGGAAGAAGAGTAACAAATCGCCATCAATCCTCCCCACTAAGGGAAAATATATTTTTCAATTATTTTATTATTATTTTATTATTATTATTATTAGTCCAATTTATATGCCGCCCTTCTCCATAGACTCAGGGTGGCTTACAATACATTATAGCAATAGCCTGCATACTTTTTTGTATATATCTGCTTATTAGGGCTTTTGACACCCCCCCCGCAAGTGGTGTTGTTCTATACAAAGTTGGCTTATTGCCCCCACAATCCGGGTCCTCAATTTACCTACCTCGAAAGGATGGAAGGCTGAGTCAACCTTGAGCCTGGTGAGATTCGAACTTGCACTAATTGCAGGCAGCTGGCAGCTAAGTGCTAGCACTTAACAGCACTTTAGTCTGCTGCACCACCGAGGCTCTTAATAATTCCTAAATGCCTTCTGGAAGTACTGTGTCGAGAATTAATAATTTTGAAAATGTAACATGGACTGGGTAGCTCAGATATCCAGAGATAAGCTGTTCCAAAGGAGGGGGGCCATCACCAATAAAGTTTGATCATGAGGTCTATTTCTTTGTTGATGGCATCTCTAGTCCAGCCTTCTCTTCCAGATATTAAACAAATAGAACTCCAGAAAAAGGTTTCAGATTTAGGCAGCCCATCCCCAAACTCTGGACCCAGTCCAGAAGGATATCATGATTAGTACAGGTAGTCCTCGACTTACAATAGTTTGTTTAATGACCATTCGAAGGTATGACGACACTGGAAAAAAGACTTATGACCATTTTTCCACACTTATGACCATTGCAGCATCCCCATGGTCACGTGATTTACCTTCAGATGCTTGGTAACTGGTTCATATTTATGACGGTTGCCGTGCCTGGCATTATGTGGCCATGATTTCTGACAAGCAAAGTCAATGGGGAATCCGGATTCGCTTAAAAACCGTGTTACTAATTTAACAACTGCGGTGATTCACTTAACAAATGTAACAAGAAAAGCTGTAAAATGGGGCAAAATTCACTTTAAAAATGAACATAACACTTACTAACATAAATTCTGGGATCAATTATGGTCGTAAGTTGAGGATTACCTGTAGTATCAAAAGCAGCTGGGAGGTCCAAAATAAGAACACACACATCACCCCATTCCCGCTCCCCCCAGAGATTATCCTAGAGTGTAAGTAATGTGTTCTCAGTCCCATACCTCAGCCTGAATCTTGACTGGAAGACATCCAGGTAATCTGCTTCTGCAGAGTTCTCTGAAGCTGCTGTACAATTAACTTCTCTATCACCTTCCCCCAAAAGGGACAGTTGGAAATTGGCTGACAATTGTCCAAGATCATCAGATGTTCCTGGACAATTGTCGTTTGAGGGCGAATATGGTTGTTTGAGGAAGAGGCGGCCCATAGCTTCCTTTAGAGATGGCAGGACCATCCCTTTATCACTGCCAAGACCCAATGTTACCTCCTGGAAGCCTTAGCCAACCTCGAGGAATATGGATTTTAAACAAAGATGGCAAAGCTAACAATTGCAGAAATCTTGACTACTTTTATCAGGTTCAACAGGAACAAAACTCCTCCCTAATAACCAAGTTAGATCCTTTTACAGTCACCTCTGCAGGACTGCTTGAAGACTATAGTTCAACTTGGTACAAATCTAGTTGGCTTTCAGATATCTTGTCAATTCCTCAGAGTGACCTTGTAGGTAGATGTAACAGCTACCTCCTACCAGGAAGAGTCAGGTCCCTTGAAAGAAGACCACCAGGACACAATAAGGGCAAAGAAATACTGACATTTTGCTGCTCTTACCACCACAAAGAAGGTATCTAATAGTAATTCTAATCTATACTGGATCTAATTCACTTCTCATTGGTCTTCAGTAGCACTCCAGGTATCTTTCAAACACTTATCTCTCTCAACTCCTCTGTAAATAAAGCAGAATTCCAAGATCCCCGGGTAAGGAGGGGGCTGCTTGGATGTATCCAATCCAGAGGCCCCAATTTTTTATTTTTTATTTTTTATTTTTTTAATTTGATTTATATGCCGCCCTTCTCCGGAGACTCAGAGAGGCTTACAATGCGTTAAGCAATAGCCTTCATACTTTTATATATTTATACAAAGTCAGCTTATTGCCCCCACAAACTGGGTCCTCATTTTACCTACCTTAGAAAGGATGGAAGGCTGAGTCAACCTTGAGCCTGGTGAGATTTGAACTTACAGTAATTGCAGACAGCTGGTGTTAAGCACAATGCTTTTAGTCTGCTGAGCCACCAATGCCCTCTCATTCCAGGTAGCCACTAGGACTTCAGTTTGGACCATTCAACAGATCTTCAAGAACAACCAAGGTTCCTTCTGGAACCCAATTAGGTTCATCAGACGCTTGGGACAGGCCAATTTAATATTTCCCACTTCCCTGCATTAGAAAGAACTGCAGGGCCATCAGAAAGTGTTCTGACTTGATCTATTTTTTTTCCTTTTAATGACCCTGTAATCTCTTGCATGGGGTGGAGTCGTAACAACTGAATGGAGGTGAGTGTTGTATTACTGATATAAAGAAAGTGGTGTCAACAAATGTGCAGTAGCGTCATAGTTTTACTGCTGAAATCTGGAACTTCTTTTTCTTTGATAAATGAACAAAAAATATCCGAATAATTAACTGGTAACCTTTACCAAGGGGGAGGAATCGTATCAGATCTATCCACCTGCAATTATTCTATAAGAGCTATCCCATTTCCAGGAATTGAAAGCCTAAGATCCATCATCCTCATTCACTAGACTGTGGCCAAGGCTTATGAATTTTGCAGCCGCACATTATTTGATGGGCCATGTCTAATTCCCTTCAGGTGAAACCAGAAAAGAAGGCTGAGCTTGCTAGTAATACAAAAAGTTTTTTAAAAGTCGTACTTGTATTGAGGTGCAACAGCGATGTTCTATTAACGCATTTAAAAAAAAAAAATCACAAAAAAATTAGAAGCCTCCTTACACCACCCAGTCAAGAAAGAAATCTCCCTTTAAGGAGATACATAAATGAAGTTGCAGTTGAAGGATGTAGTTGTGTACTGCAGAAAGGCAAAAGGGCAGCAAAGAAAAATACAGCTGAGAAAGAAAGGCAG